CTAAGGGTGATGGGGGGGGAGGGGGAGTAAGAAAAACAGCTTTTGGTGCGCTTTTGATCAGTCTTAGCAATGCTTTGGATCTGTACACTTATTCTCAATAAATGAACTTTCTTTTGAATCAATATTGGTTGCAAGGAAAGTTACTGGATTTGGGATCAACAGGTGGCAGCTCGTTACAGCTATCCAATTATATTGGTATGCTATTCATATATACATTGCTGTGGGGATGCTGTGGAAACCATGACCCATTGCCTGGAGACTGTACAGGCCTGAATGAATCAAAACAAGCTGAGATTAAATCCCTGCATCATACAAACTGCTGTTTGTCAGTGACAGAGCTGGCTCTAGGTCTTGATTGGTTGCAGTACTAAACTGTGAGATAGGGGACTCCTGACTACAATGACTCATATGTTAGTCAATGCTAGAATACTGCAATGTGTTGTACTTAAGGCTGCCTTTGAAGAGGACTTGGAAGCTTCAATTGATTCAAAGTGCAGTGGCCTATCTAACTAGAGGTAGCATATTTAGTAATGTTATACTTATGCAATAGTTGGTTCACTGCCTGTCTTTGCTTTTGGATTCAATTTAAAGTGCTGATTGTCATCTTTAGAGTTGTACATGCTTTGGTTCCTGGATTCCTGTTAAGATCTGGCCCATCCCATGCATTCCTTAGTGGATTATTGAGGGCCTCTTCCTTGTGTGAAATCAAGGAACTGAGAGCCTTCTGTGTAGCTGTCTCCATACTGAGTCATCCAAGATCTGAAATGTCCTAAACTTCCTTGTTCTCAAGTCATTCGTGTTCTGTTGAGTTTTTGGCTCCTGATGCTATACAACTTATATATATTAGATAGCTGTTGCTTTGTTGTCTTTGTATCCTTTCTCTTTTGTATACTATCCTGAGTCGCAAAGATATATATGTTGATCATACTTTATCATATAACAAATATCAATATTAATATTTATCAAATAAATATTAATATTTAATATTTATATAATATCTACTTTTAACAGCAAACTTTAGACTCTGCTACAATTTATTATCAGGATAAAATTTGGCTATTAATATGCATTATTACCATTGTTCTTCTATATCCAGAAATCAGAAAGGTATTGTGATGGACTGGAATGGAGGAAGGGGGGTGAAAACGGTGCTCTCGTCTCCAGAGCAACGCTCTGGAGTTAAGCAGAGAAAGCTGACGCATCCCTAAACATTCCAGAAGATAGTAGAGACTTGTGCCTGTGATGGACTGGAATGGAGGAAGGGGGGTGAAAACGGTGCTCTCGTCTCCAGAGCAACGCTCTGGAGTTAAGCAGAGAAAGCTGACGCATCCCTAAACATTCCAGAAGATAGTAGAGACTTGTGCCTGGGAACTACTGGTCAGTCTGAGAAGATTCTGTAATCAAGCACTAGCTAATAAACCTTGCTGATTGAACCTGCACGGTCTCCAGGAGTTCCTTGGGCTAGGCCTGACAGGTATACAGGTAGTCCTTACTTAAAAACCATTCATTAGTGACCATTTGAAGTTATGACCGCACTGAAAAAAGTAACTTATAACCAGTCCTCGCCCTTATGACCATCACAGCACCCGTGATCATGTGATCGCCATTTGCGACCTTCCTAGCCGACTTCTGGCAAGCAAAATCAGTATGCTTTGCTTAACGACCATTGCAAAAATTGTCGTAAAATTGGGTGTGGTCACATGATGCCTCACTTAATAACTGCCCCACTTAACAATGAATTTTCTGGTCCTGTGGTTGTTAAGTGAGGACTACCCGTATTGAAAACATTATATATTATTTCATAAAATATTTTTGATTTATTACAATCTTTAAACAAGCAAAAAGGATTGCTATCTTTACTACTACTACCACTACCACCACCACCACCACCACTAATAATGCATAATCTGTGTTTGTCTATTTAGACTGTCCATTTATTTTGATCTTTCAGTAAACCTTTAGTAAATGGTCTGTGAAAATGCATTTCCCTTGACTGGATTAGATAATGAAACACACTGGTAGTCAGAATATTGTGTCATACTGTCTTGCTCAGTGATTTCAGGCAGTGTTTCTCAACCGTGCTGGCTAGGAAATTCTGAGAGTTGAAGCGCACATATCTTAAAGTTGCCAAGGTTGAGAAACAGTGAGTTAAGGTACAACTTTTGGAGGACAATGGTTTCTAATGTCCTGCTCTGAGGCACTTTTGATTTAGTTTTAGCTTGTAGCTACCCAAAATTGCACCAAAATGCATACCTCCCACTGAAAATAATACAGTGTAGGTGGCTTACCTTGGAAATTATCTATTATGAGACTGTAAGAGAATAAAACATTCAAGCACCCGTAACCTATTCCTCTCTCAAAATTTCAGATTTTCCTTGCAAAAAGCCAGGAATAACAACTTTGTAACTAACAAGGAAAAATAACATTGGAATTAACACCCTGTAATCTTTGGTTGCTGGGTGTTAGTTACAATGGGGAAAGAAAAACATTCTAGAATGGATAATCAAGCATTTTGCCTAGCTAAAATCCATAAAGGCAGATTACCTGGGAAAGATTCACACAATAATACTGCTATACCAGTAAGAAATGCCACACTTATTTTATAACATAATTGCGTGCTTTATTGATATACACAGTAAAGCAGTATATAATACAATAAGTAAGGCATATATTTGGTGAAATTCAATATGTTGTGAAAAATGCAGTAAAACTGAAGTTTATAAAAATAATTAGTAAATGTTACAGTATTGATGTTAGAACACAATAGATGATACCCAAGTAATAAATCAGTACTGCATGAAAATGGTATAACATGCCAGACAATAGTTATTCAGTTATGCTGATAATGTTTTACATAGTGTATGAATATAAGGAATATGAAATAGTTCCAAAGAAACTCTTTAAAAGCAGCAATAAAGCTCTTAAACTCTTTTAAATATTTTTGACAGACTCACTTCGAAACTAATATCTAAAAAAGAAATGATAACCCTGATGAAAATAGTTGTGCACTCTATTAGTCTCAAATCTTTTAAAGAGAACTTTAAATATAAAGGCATAAAAGAAAGAAATAATCCCACCCTACAATTGAATCTGCACTGTCTTACACAAAGGCTATGAGATATATAGGATACCCATTCATAAATGAAGCGCGTGATCCAGCCTAGCATTGCATCAGTGGAGTCCTTGCACATGGTAGGTTCACCTAGGACAGTGTTGTCCAAACTTGGCCACTTTAAGATGAGTGGACTTCAACTCCCAGAATT